GTGCCTTTTCCTCTCTAACTTTTCAAAACCTCCATTAGAGAGCTCCTCTCTCTAGATTTCAACTTCTCTCTAAGGTTTGATCTAGTTTGAGTGATCTTCCACCCTCGTCCCTTTGTAAAAGTTGTGGGGTTTGGCTTGCTCTTCATTTTGATCCGAAAATCTTGAAGTTTGGAGCACTTTGGAAATTCTTCATCATCTCCATTTGGTCTCATCTTTTGAGGTAGGGATAACTACTCATTTTTATGATCTTTGACATGAACTATAGTCATTTTGATTTAATGTTTGAGTTGGGTAATTTTGGGTGTTAGGGTTTCAAAATGTATAAAGAGGGGTTTTGTTCTTTTGACCCATATTTGTGTATTATGGGTCTTAAAATGTGGTTATTGATGTTTGTTGTTGATATTTGAGCCTTTGGGTCAATGTTGAGGAAATAGAGAGAAAAGCCCTAATTTGTTGTTATGAATTAATTTGTATAATAAATTTGGAAGGTTATGAAATCATGAAATTGAGTTAGAATTAATGAAATTGGGTAATTATGGGAATAAATCGCGGAGTTGGATTGCTTAACCACTTACCTTTGAGAATTGTTGATAATTTATCTATTGATGCATTTATTTTCTATTTAGAAATAATTGCTCTAGGCTATCGGTGGAGGATGGTCTTGATTGTTGTAGACACTGCATGATGATTAGGTGAATTAAAACTAATCGGTTGAATATGTCATCGAATATGACGGTTGGAATAATGCATCGAATCTGTGTACTAATTGATCGTGTATATGATAATTGTTTATACACATTGCTTTGTGTGGGTGGAGATAGGGGATGTACTCCACGGTTTAGGAGGAGATAGGGGATGGACTCCTAAACCGGATATTAGTTGGGAAGAGATAGAGGATGAACTCCATTGATACAGCGAATCTGTGTATCATTTGTGAAGTATGGAAGTGTTTTATTATGAGTTGCTATCTCATGTGAATTGTGAAGTATGGAAGTGTTTTATTATGAGTTATAATCTCATTTAAATTGTTGATATTGAAAAGGTTTCTGACATGAGCTGTAGTCTCATGGGAATTGTTTGGCCAGATTCTGAGCCATGTTTATAAATCGAAATTGCTAAGTAAAGGAAAATGGAATGAAACATGGACATATCTGTTATGGAATTGGGTTGTGTTGTATGTTGGTTTATATTAGTTAAACATTTATCAAATGCTAATGTTTTAGTTATTGCTCATATTATGTTTAGCATATCTCTACTGGGCGTTTGCTCACCCTATATGGGACATCATTTTCAGGTTCAAGTGATATGCTACCTCCAAGGACGTAGCTTGGGTGGCTTGAGACTGATAGCTCTTTTTGTTGTTCTCTTTTGTATATTACATGTATATCAAGCCATGTGTTTATTTTGTGTAAAGAGTTAGAACTCTGCTTTTGTTGAACCCAAGTGTTGACTTGGAAAGTTGTAAGCCTATAGGGCATTTACTTTTGTTGTCAACATGTAATATCTTTTGTAAGAATACTCTGATAAATAGAATTATGCTTTACTCTCTTAAGTTTATGGATGTCTTGGATGTATGATTTATGGGTTTATTTTGAGGGTGTTACAATTCTTTTGTACAGTGTTCTTCGAAAAGAAATCTAACATAGGCTTATAAAATCCAAGTCTAACTGCATAGATAAATTTTAGGAGAAATGCTGGAGAGAGAGAGAGAGAGAGAGAGAGAGAGAGAACAAACAATTAGAGACAGGCAGTGTTGTTGTTACATTGGTCACCCAAGACGGAAAAAATGTTTGATTAATTTGCTCTTTGGTGTTGGACTGACTTTGGTGTATTTACTATTATGTTAGACTGTCTTGGTTGTATTCTTTGTTGTTAGGAGGCTATGTTGGCTCTTATCTATTGTCTTTTGTTTGGTTACTCACCAAACTTGACCTTATGCTAGCATATGATTGGCCATTCAATTCGTACCAACATAGTTGGGATGAGTATGTTTCACTATGATTCTTTTTACATTTAGACTCTCCTTTATTGTTATATATTGTTGTTGTAATTGTCTCGATGATTGTCGCATGCTGGGGGGTACCCGAGCGTGTTAAACAATTTGGACCCTTGATTTCTTTGATCTAGTTTCACAAGTGCAATGTGAAACATAGATGAGAGTCCAAATTTGTCAACTTTTATAGAAAATCCATTTTAGTGCAAAATTGTTGCCAGAAATGGACTGTATCACCAGATTTCAGAGCCGCCACCTAATATTTTGAAAAAATTAGGAAACCCGTGACTCGTGCCAAGGCCACAGTTCGTCGTAACTAGAGATGTCTTGTTTTGGAACCTTAAGTATGAGGAGGGAAGATCATTAATTGAGTACTCCCACTCACCCGATCAAAAAGTCGGCCTCTACTAAACCATGATGTGAATTTTATAGACAATATATAGTCATATTCTGATTATTAAATAATCCTAAAAATTCCTATGTGAAGAAATCAAGTATAGACTACGTTATTTTGGAATGTTACGATCTCATGTATTTTGAAAAAGGATTTTTGAAAATGTGCAACTCAAAGGGAATCAAGTTCACAAGCCTGAAATCAGCATTATTCCAAATTAAGCAACACAACCTTCATCCACCGGCAATCATAGAGTTATATCAACAAAGCAAATAGCCGCATGGTAAGATGCTAGACATAATAAGAAAAACACACAAAAGTGGGATGTTAAAGTATAAACACTCACATAGTATTTATTGACATCCAGTGAAAAGTTACAAAACAAAGTTAGTAAAATATGCATGATTCTAGATTCAAAATTTTAATGCAATACATATACAAAAATGAAACTAAAATATTCGGCTACTAATACATGACATGGGAATCATTTCAAGATATGGGGTAGCGCATAAAATCACATAAAAATTGATTAAACCCACAGATACAAATGAGCCGAATTTTAATGCATAAAATATGATTACAAAACATGGATATGATGAAAAAGAAAATATGATACTATTTACAGATATGGAAAGTGAGTAAATGAAAAGGATAGAAAGAAGCAAGGGCAGTGAATTATTACAACACCGAATAAAAGAAAAATAAAAGAAATGAGGTCGAAAATTGTTATAACACAAACTGAATCTAACAAATCATGGGAATATACAAAAATAAAATAAAATAATAGTAATAAGAAACTTCAATCATCCGTAAAAAATTGCATTGTTTATTGCTTGGGAACTACTCTGTTTTGCTCATATGGGAATTCCTTGGGAGGAAATGATGAATTTTTTAATTTCCAAACTCTCTTCCCAGCACCCTTAAGGTTCTAGAGTATGCTTTGCATTATCAAAGAAAAGTTTCAAGTCTTAGCTTCAATGGAGTTTTGATGGTATTTCTTCCCTCAAATTGTTTTTGTTTCAATTGAGGTTTTTTTTTATTATTATTATTACATAAAAACAATCTCTTTTCTTTCTCAAGAAAATTCCCTCTTTTTTCACAAAAAAAAAAAAAAACCCACTCTTCTCAAAAACTAACCATTCTTTTCAAAAACTAACCAACTTCTTCTTCAAGAGAATGGAGAGAATTTATAGGAAAAATGAAAATCCTCTTCCAATGTTTTTATCTCCCATTTTCTTCAAAGAAAAATCAAAGATACTCTTCAAATATTTTTGTCTCCTCTTTTCTTCATTTGAAAATCCAAAAGAAAATCAAAGATCCCTTCCAATGTTTATGTCTCCCATTTGCTTCTTTTGAAAACAAAAATCAAAGATCTCCTTCCAATGTTTTTGTCTCCCCTTTTCTTCTTTTGAAAACAAATCCAAGATAAATCAAAATATCTTCATCTTTGAAAAGCCAAGATTCCTTCAACAATAAAATAATGTTTTCATATTTTCTTGAAAATAAAAAATAATGTCTCCACTTTTGACTATAAAAAAATTCCCTCAACAATGCAATGGATTTTTGGCTGGAAAAATATTTGAAAAATAGATAGGTGGACAAAATAAGTTTTCGAACGGGTCTAAAATAATTTGGACAAAAAAGGTATCAGGTTGGAATTAAAGTTGAATCTTACTTTTTGTTGAGAAATTCGTGATATAGCACATTTCAATTTTCAATATCAGGTGTTCAGAAGAAAGCGCCAAAATCTTAAGACTGGTCAAAATGGGTTGTCTACAATGATGCATCAATAAAAGTTTTTTTTTGCTAATAAAAAAAAAAAGAGACAGAAAAAAATGTTGTGTTGCTCTTAAAGGAGTGATGCAACCCTTGGAGGCAACCTAGTGTGAAGAAAAAAGAAACATTAAGAACGTATTTCAGAGTAGAATCAATTGATTCACTCACTGTCAATAGCATGCATCTTCGATTGATAAATATATATATATATAACCAAAAAAATCTCAACCAGTATTGACGTGATTGGCAATTTTAAAATTATAAATCATCATAAAAGGGTGATTTAGTTGAAAATTAAATGAAGATCAAGAAAAAATTATTTTCTTTATATATTTTCATTATTTTTCTTGATTCGAATCTCACAAAATGTCTCACTCACCATTTATGAAAACGTAGTGGAGGAGACAAATATTAAACAAGCCACAGTAGTGGAATTATTAAAAAAGAAAATCATATTATGATGTTTGAAGGTGTTTGAATTCCGAATGGTCTTTAATTATTCGATAGATGTATATTGTGGTGTGATATTTAATAAATTTGAGAAGATATTTTTAAAATGCTAAAAAAATAAAGAACATATATGCTCTTTAGATTTTTAAAATAGTAATAGATAATCACAATATAATTTATAACTTTCACTTTAAACAAATACATTATAAATTTATTTTTTGTAACTTTTAATACAAAGCCTCTGTTCGGCAATCAAATTTGGGGCTTAATTAGTCACTACCGTCCAAAATAGGCTAAATTAGCCACTGCCAGACAAAAAGCCTTCACGTGCTTACAAACAACTCAAGGCATGGTGAATTTACCAAACTACCCCCTGTCAATCTGTTTCACACCAGCACCGCCTCTAACCCCACACACACAAGACTCTTCTCACCTAGGGGACCGATAGCCGCTGAAGCGAAGGAGGCGATTCCATTTGCTGAACAGGGAAGAAGAATAGCGAAGCTTGCCATAAGCCAACGCCACCAGAGTGCACATCTGCGGCGACACTGCAACTCAGCGTCTGAAACACGACCGATCGTCAAGTACTCGTTGTTTTTCAATTTTTTTTATTTTTTATTTTTTATTTTTTGTGTGTGTGTGTGTGCATAATACCGTGTCCTTCAACCCGATCTAGTGGGTTGATCTGTGAAAGCTATTGTTTTGGGTGATTCAAAATTTTCCTTCAATTTTTTGTACTTGTTTATGTTAATTTTTGTTTGGCATATGGGAAAACCACTGTTGTATGATGGAACTCACGCAAAAAACATGAACTGATGGACGCTCACTGATGCAAACTTTTAGTTTCGGATGATTATTGATGGAAAAAGAATTTTGTTTGTAAACGATTACTTTCGATTTTCTTCGTAAATTAGTGTCGGACGATTACTGATGGAAAAACTTTTCTAAAATTTTCTTCAAGAATCTGATATTTTGTCCAAAAATCTGAAATATTCCTCATCCTTTTCATTCTTGGCACCAATTTTGGGATTTGCCCTGATTATCTTGAAGTGCTGTTTAGTTATTGTGGAAAGTAATCTACACAAATAGGAAAAGAAGTCCCTGATTTCATGCCTCCAAATATGTTCTTCTGTAATAAACTCTGAACAAATAATTTAAGAAACTGTATTGTTCTTAACAGAAACTGAAATGAATGTTCTTAACAATTTTTTCTTAATGTAATGCAACAACCCTTAACAAACATTTGTTATTAAAATAAATAAATAAATAAATAAATAAAATTGCTTGGGGTTGTTTGACTATAATGTGGGTGTGGTAAAAAGCTCAGGAATGATGGTCTAGATAAGCAACGAGCACAAAGGGAGCTTATTGATTGAATGTTATCCTAGGATGGTAAATTTGGTGAAGTTGGGCTTAGATACATTGTGTTTTCCCTTCATATTGTGTTTATTATTGTTATCCCTTCATATTGTGTTTTCCTTTGGTTGAACAAATCTGGAGTAAGATGGTTGATATGTGATAAAAAAATTGGCTACATAAAAGGAGAGTTATTTACCCAACCCAACTTTTTGATTTAAAAAAAAAAAAAAAAAAGAGTCATTCCTTGTCTTGAACTTATTTGTCATACTTTGGGTGTTTCTTGAAGTGTTTTCAAAATGTAAATTTGAAGAGTTTTGCAATATACTAATTGAAATTGTATTTTCAAAATGTATGTGTTTTAGTTTAAAGTCGTGTCACAAATACAACAACAATTTGTGAAATAAGTTAAAAAAATGTTAGTTTGGGAAATATATTTTAGAATCAAACGAATTTGGTAAAACACTCTTTAGATGCATCTATTCGTGCAAAAGATTGTTCTTGTCCTTCATTTTTACCTTTACAATTTGCAACTTGTAAGCTTGGAGAATTTTAAAAATTAGTTTAGGCCAGCTCGCAGAGGTTAAGACATCCTTTTGCTACTTCATTCTTGAATTGAAGCACCGCTGAGTGTTCATTGCTGAGAGAATCACTTTTGTATGTTTCTACATGGAATTGCACATGAAACATATGCCTCTTAAACAAAGTTTACCTTTTAGATTGAGTTTTTGACATGAAATGACCAATTACAAGTTTATCTATGTACTTCTTTCAATTCAAATTGAAAGATATGCATTTGTAAAAGCCATGGCTATGCTATTAATTTCTGTAACATCACTTTTCTTCAAAGGCCATTCTTAGAGAAGAGCAAGTGTGATGATCGGGTGTATTATTCACTCCGTTCTCCTTTTGTTTTCATTGGGTTTGAAGTGTCTGGAAGTTTTGTTCTCAAATGAATTCTTATTCTTGTTTGTTCGGTGTTGATTTTCACGTGTTCCGGAGAGTGCAAGGTCGGGTCCGAAATGCCTAGAATTGAGCTAAGAAAATTCTGGGCTGTGGAACCAGGGCCGCACGTGCGAGAAAGGGGTCGCATGTGCGGAATTCAGGGGAGGTTTGGGGCAACACACTGCAAAATGAGCAGGTGTTGGAGGAGGTGCGACATGGGAAGGCTGCACATGTGGGGTTGAGGGCCGCACGTGCGGGAGGTAGGCTCCGCACGTGCGGGGCGCTGGCAGTCCGAAATCTCTATTTTTTTCCTCTTTTAGGCTGAATGTATATCACTTTTTAACATTTTCTTCTCACTCTAAAAATGCATTTTGCTACTCCTTCTCTCTAAAAACCTCCACCAAACACCCAAGAACCTTGATTTCTTACAATCCATGGGGTTTTGATCTATCATCTTTCACAAACCTTGAAGAGCAAAGCAAGAATCTCACTTTGTACAGTGGAGATCAACTTTCTACAACTTTTGATTTCTAGGATTTCTTCTCTCATCTTCTCCAAAACTTGAGGTAGGGACTTCCTAGAGTTATATATATATGTTTTGCAAGATTGATGTTGATTTTAAAGTTCTCTTGAAGTTATTTTGAAAGTTTGATTTTGGCTCAAGAATGTAGAGATTTTTCAAAAGAGGGTTTAAAACCTCAAATGTTTCTAAGTTGATCCTTGAGGGTTTCACCTCCATTATGTGGGAAATGATGTTTGTGTGTGTGAGTTCTTTCAAAAAGGTGAAGGGATGCCTAATCTTGGCTAAAGACTGAAATTTTATTGAGATGAGATGAGAGCCTATGAAATAGGTAAAAATTGTTGATATGTCATAAGGGAAGAACGAAATATATATATATATATATATCTTTACCATTGTAGAAATGATGAAGTTTGTGAAATGTGAAAAGTATTTAGTGTTGTTAAATTAAAACGAAATGGTGAGTATCATGCTTGATATTGTTGAAAGTGGAGTGGAAAGTTTGATTGCAATAAATCAATGTTGAAGAAGATCGATGATGGAGAAATGTTACATAATGATGATGATTATTGCATTGCATACTCATTCAATTGATTATTACAAGATTGGCATTTAGTTTTTGGCATGATAGTATTGGCATTTCTAGCATTAAATGGTTGCATTGGCTTCTCTAAAATCTTGCATGTCATAAACATTGGATTGGGAATTGAAAATTTTATAAAAAATGAATGATGCGGAATGAAATCATGGAAATGTTTAGGGGGTAAATACGTTGGTAAGTCTGGTTAGGAGGTGTAGATGAATTGATAAGTTGGCCTGAGTGTTCGGGGTGAAATACCGAAAACACGTGCGGATGAGGTACCACTTCCCTTCTGGTTAGCAACCGGTAAAGTGGGGTTTTTGGTAGTGCTTGTTGAGCCTACTTGCAGACACCAACCTAGGGATTACCTAAGTCGTATTTACCGCTCCTATTGATTAAAATTAAAAGTTTTGGAAATTGTTGAGATTGCAAACTATTATTGAAACATGGTGATTTTCATGAAGAGCATGTAATGAAATTTTCTTTAAAATGACATTGCATGGCATTTGCATTTGCATTTAACATTGGAAGTTTGCATAACTGTATATACTTTGTAAGGATTCTCTACTGGGCTTTATGCTCATCCGTATAGGATTTGGTGCAGGAAAAGATGTGGTGATCCCGCCGAGTTGAGGGCATGGATATATTTTGTCAAGAGTAGATGACTCTATTTTTTGTTGTGAAATTATTTGCTAGCCAAGGGCTTAAATGGATGGGTTCATGAAACCATTTTTGTGTAACCGGGCTCAAGCCTTGGAATATTTAAGCCCTTAGGAGCATTTTATTTACTTTTGGGATGTAATACTCTACATGCTATAGATTCATGTGTTTTTCATACCGTTGAATGTATAATTTGCATGTAGAAATTTTGTACGCACTTTATTGATTAATGATGAAAATGTCAGAGATCTATCGCGTTCCTTAATGAATGTTGGCTAATGTATCTAATTTATGTTGGGATATTTCGGGGCGTTACAGCAAGAATGCTCTCTCTCTCTCTCTCTCTCTCTGGACTGGATTCAAATTGATGTGCATTGTTATTTATTTTGCTTTGACAATTGAGTTTTATTTTCATTTCAAGGGTTAGTAGATATGGTCCACCTAATTTCTTTGACATATACATATACATATATATATATATATATGTGTGTGTGTGTGTGTGCGCGTATATATATATCTGTTAAACACATGTCTTGTATTTATTAGGATTTAAATACTTTTACGAATTCAAATTAATGATAGACTTTATTTATTTATTTGGGTGTGGAATAGTCAAATTCACACGTCATCATTTTCACAATTTGTGTTTTCTAGGAAAATGCTCAAATGATTTTATGGAGAAATTTGTAAATGAAATCTTACCTTTTCCGTGTTGCAAAACCCCATTTTTAAATAACAAATGGGGAAATTCATCAATTTATACATAACAATTTTCTGAACTATGAATAATGTGGCACCTACATGTTATCATTAGTCTTTAACTCGGTCAGAAAGCGTAGCATGGCTTCGTATACCTCTACTGCAACTTCCAGTACATGGCCACATCGGATGTGTGCCTGTGGCTATGGCCAATGTGTTGTGAAGATATCTAGGTCGACCAAAAATCCAGGGCGTGCGTACTTTGCATGTCCCCGCCCTGTGGTGAGTGCCCAATTCATTAACGGTTATAATTGCATTTCATTCTAAAGCAATTGACTAATAGCTTCTTCATTTTCACTCGTCAGCCCTGTGTTAGTTTAATTGGTTGGTGCGAATAACCAAGGCGACAAAGCACGGACTATGTCTCATCCAGAAAACAACATTGTCATGCAATTGCGGGATGATGCCATACACATTCAACAGTCATTGCGTCTTCTTAAAACCATTGTCTATGTGTTATTCATTGTCGTTGTCATTTTGTTGTTGCGTATGTAAGGAAACTGAGGATGTTGTTAGGGTGTTGACTGTTATGACTTTAAGTTTGCCTTGCGTTCCATGACTAGTTGGGGATAGACATTAATGAATACTTTCATGTACTGTTTCTATTCCAATGTTTATATTCGTTCTGCATGAATGTTGTGTTTGTATTGCTATGTTACATAATGTGCAATGGTTATATAATGTCAAATTTAACATCCAATTTGTGTGTTTGCTGTGCAATGGTACATTGTTCATGTGGCAACCAATTCAAATTGTTCTGCTATGGTCTTATATGCATGTATATAACAAGCAAATTTGTGATGGTGATAATTTTGACCTGTAAATTAGTTGCCTTAGCTGCGTGGTTAGTGCAAATGGCTTCAATACGTGCTTCTCGTACCCTATCGAAAAACAAAGACATTGCTCCAGAGAAGTCAAGCAATGTGGAAGAGACACACAAGCAGTTAAACCACAAGGCCTCCTAGGACAGTGAGTCAATTCGAATATTCCTGTCGCTGATTGCCAATGAGATTACAAAAGGAAATCGGCCATTCCTAGTCCTAAGCCAAGCTGGGTACAAGTCGTTGGCAAGGAAATTTGAGAAAGAAAAAAGAAAGAAAGAAAACATAGCCTGAAATAGTTGAAGAATAAATACACGAGTCTGAAAAAAGAATGGAATGCTTGGAGGAAATTGATGGATTCTAGAAGAGGAGTGTCAAGGATTGGCTTTGACAGCGAAACTGGTATGTTTCAAGCGTCTGATGAGTGGTGGGACAAGATGGAATCGGTAAGTACAATGTAATTTCCGTATGTTTGTTTCATTTCATATTTGCCTGTTAGCAATTAATTTTCTCATTTTTTTTGTTAGTTAAAATTTCACATATTGCATGCAATGTTTTCTTTTTTTTATCAATGTCCAATTTTGCAGACAAACAAGGCGTGTGCAAAGTTTAGGAAAAAAACTTTGGAACATCGTGAGTTGATGGAGACGATCTTCACAGGGGCATCAACTCCTGGTAAGCACCATTGGACCCCAAGAGAGAAAGTTGTTGAAGCTGCCGATGTCTCATCCAATTCTGTGCACAGTATCGAAGCCCAGCCATTTGTTGATCTGATACCCACACGAGCACAGGATATGGATTCGGATTCTTCAATCGAACCAGTTCTGCCTATTAATGAAAAAAGGAAATGGACTCTGTCAACAAGTTGTGGAAAGTCGAAGAAGGCAACAAGTAGAGTGTCAATTATTGCAGAAAGCATGAACAATCTGACAAATATGGTTCGTACGCAAAATCAACAAGTTACAGTTAGGCACCTCACAGGTAACGAATCACTGTACACAATTTTGGAGTGCATGCAACAGCTGAGGAACATTCTTTCCCTTCTTAGTACGTTGTTATTCTATTTTGCCTCGACACTGATGGATAACGCAAATTACCGGAAGGTGATAATGTGCCAGCCTGATGACGACCACATTATAGGTTGTCTCACACAAAAGCAGCTGTAATATAGTGTGGCGGCGCCGTTTACGAACCTGTTCGGGCCTCGCTGGATTTGATATAGCGGTGTGATGCTGAAGATGCGTCCCCTTATCTTGGTTTAAAAGACTTTTACTTACGTTCATGTTAGACTTGTAATAAACAGGATGGTTGTGCATGCATTTTTCATATATATACATATATATATTTTATATTTTCTCAGGTTTGGTGAAGAAATATTTGCATGTTTGTGTAGTTTTTTCGACAATTACGTAGGATGGTTGTGTCTTTTTTCGGGATGGAACAGGATAGTTGTGTTTGATTTTTTTTTATGGGATTTAGATCCGCAACAGCGGGCTGTCGTGTGTTGCTTGTTTATTTATTTTATTTTTTTGTTTATTGTTATGTTATTTTTCCATATCTATGGTTGTGTTGGTAAATTGATGTTTTATTGGTTTGTGTATTACCAATTACCATCAGGTTCACTATTTGTTTATTTCATATCATTTTACATGCAATTGTACTTTACTGTTAGGCATCATCTATTCCATGGTGACGTAACATAAATATTTCCAATGGTGTGAGCATATGTTATGCTTAAACTGTTATTACCTTTAAGCCGCTACATCACGTGTAAACTGATTGAAACCATTCCACTATTGTAGGTTTCGCTTGAATCAACGTGATGAATCCCTGCAATGGAAGTAACAATTAGGATTTAACGAAAATGCTTAACCAAATGGCCATACAACTGTAACAACAAAACAATTGGACAATTGTAGAAGCATGCCGGTATGTGCAAGAGTGGTACAAAAAACACATGTCTAAAACACCATGTCGCACTTCAATTTTGACCGGGCATGCATAGATAACCAAACTATATGCGGGCCATGTGGATTGATTTGAGGAAAATGTGTGCGTGCCGAAGGAAGTTTTTGCGGCTTTGTGTCACACATTAGTAACTGATTTGGGGTTACAAGTACCACAACGTCCACATGGCCTAGCTATTGAAGAAAGCGTTGCAATGTTTATCCACGTATTGAGAGGGTTGCAAAATCGGGAAATCCAAGAACGGTTCCAACATTCGGGGGAGACTATGTCCCGACACGTTCATAATGTATTAACGGTGATGAAGGAGTTCACTATTGTATATTGCAGGCCCACATATAGTCAGCATCGTATACATCCATGCGTGCGGTCTAAACGGAAATACCTACTATTCAAGGTAATATTTTAAAACCTCACTCAGTTTAGTATGTTTGCCTTCTTATTATTACATTTTATTGGACACGACGTATGAAAAATAACCATTACATGTACCCCTAGGAGTAACAAAACAATTGGATTGTTGGCAGGACTATATCGGAGCCATAGACAAAACACATGTTAGTGCACAGGTTACGGGGCCAGATGCCGCAACATATTTCGGTAGGAAATATTGTCACACGCAAAATATCATGGCCGCGTGCGATTTTGACATGTGTTTCATCTTCATTTCGCTTGGATGGGAAGGAAGTATGCACGATAGTCGTATCTTCAATAAGATACTAACAAATGACAATGTCCCATTTCCACATCCTGAAGAAGGTAACACATTGCATTGAAAATATTTGGGTACATAATATTTGGGAAAACATCGTTAATTAAAAATTAAACACAATTTGGTGGTTTGTTTGAAATTCTGGTACTGTCTGCAGGCAAATATTGTCTTATCGATGTTGGCTATCCGAACCGGGTATGTTACCCAGCACCTTTCAAAGGCAGCCGTTACCACCAACAACAATTCCGTATTAGTGAAGGGCAAAGGACAGCAAACACTCCCAGGGAATTATTTAACAAAGTTCACTCATCATTACGCAGTGTGGTGGAACGTACTTTCGGTGCCTGGAAAAATCGATGGGGGTTTATTAGAGACATGCCTCGGTATGATTTTGCAAACTTGCAAGTTCAGTTAGTAGGTGCGTCAATGACGTTACATAATTATATACGTCGAAATACAGGCAATCCAACAACTATTAACCCCATCTTGAATGAGGAAGAGGCTATGGCAATAGTAAATGCCATACCATAAGTTGAACATGACGAGGATGGTTTAATGGTTGGGGATGAGGACCCACATATAGCATTGGTGCGACTTCGCATACGGGACAAGTTAGTGTACAGGCGTAATAACGGAATGTTAGGAAATATATAATAGTCCACCTAATATTCGTAGTCATGTAACATGGGTAACCCACGCAGAAGAGGCTGTATGTAAGTATATTATCATGTACAATATGTATGTGTTTACACGAGAAATAATCCCTATTATCAAAAATTGTAAAAAAATTTCAACAAACGGTTACAATCAATGACATAAATATTTTCAAATGTTTGCATTTTTCTTAAAAAAACACAAATGAAACCGAAAATATCATTTTTCACGTCATTTAAAAAAACAAAACACAAAAAATCTTTTACAAAAAAAAAATCGAAATTATTATTTTCCACGTCATTTTAAACTAAAAACATCAAAAATCCTTTTCCAAAAAAAAAAAGGACAAAAATAAAACCGAAATTACCATTTTCCACGTCATTTAAAATAAAATTAAAAAAAAAACATGAAAAAGCCTTTTCCAAAAAAAAATTTAAAAAAAAGAAAGACAATAAAAAACCGAAATTACCATTTTCCACATCATTTAAAAAAACATAAAAAGCCTTTTCAAAAAAAAAAAAACCGAAATTATCATTTTCCACGTCATTTGAAAAAAAAAACATAAAAATGCCTTTTCCAACCCCCCCCCAAAAAAAAAACAAATAAAAGACAACAAAAAAAAAGACATTAAAATAAAACCAAAATTAGCATTTTCCACGTCATTTAAAAAACATAAAAAAGCCTTTTCCAAAAACAAAAAACAAAAAAAAAAAACCAAAATTTTCGTTTTCAATAAATAAAAAAAACAAATTGAAAACAATAAAAAAAAATTAAATAAAAAAAAAGAAAAAGAAAACACTGGGTTGACGTCTTAGGCTTAGCCGCCCATAAAAAAAAAGAAAAAGAAAACACTGGGTTGACGTCTTAGGCTTAGCCGCCCAACAGTGGCCAACTTTCACCCCAAGGGCAGTTGGGTAATTTCACATGTGGACACCTCACCAAAAAGTTAAAAAAAGCCAAAAAAACTTATCCCAAACTAGGTTTTTTAGTCCCAGGCTAAAATAGTCAAAAAAATCAAAAAGCCAACCCACCTCCCATACAAATCCAAAGGGGCATAATACACCGCAAAATGATGAGTTTTTGTAGTCTGATTGTAAAATAAAGAGATGATTTAAAATAACCGAACAAAGGAGATCCACATGGGATTCCCTATGTGCTTGGTGTGTGTTTCTAATTAATTTTTCACCCTATATTTTAATGCTATGTTTGGTTTTAATTTTCAAATTATGATTCCAAATCAATTTCAAAATATATTTTGAAAACATGTTTGGTAAACCAAACAATTTAAAAAAATTTTATCTATTTTTTTTTTTTTTTTTTTTACAATTGCCAATCGCCACCTGTTATTTAGGTGAAAAAAATATTTATTTTTAATATTTTTAAAATATAAAAATTATTTTTTAGACCAAAATGACAAATTATTTTTTTGAAATGAATTTTAAAAAGGGTTTGGTTATGAGTTTTGAATATAATTTTCAATAGAGTTTTGAGTTGTGCGTTTGGCTATGAGTTATAAGTTTTTCAATTAAGTTTTGAAAATTCTTTTCAAAACGAAACAACTTTTCTCATTTCATATGTCACGCCAAAAATTCAAAACTCAATTCAAAATTCTTTTCAAAACTCATAACCAAACAAATTTTCTCTTTCCAAATCATAATTTCAAAACTCACAAACTCAAAATACAATTCTATTATCAAATCATAATGCTAAAACTCTACCAACGATGACTATAATTTGCAAGACTTTTTTCTTTTTGGGATGGCTTTCTTCCCTCCATGGAAAATTATCAAGTTTGGTATTATATAATTTTTTCTCTCTTTAGTTAAAAACTTCTTTTGCACATTCGAGGTAGGTTTGAAGGACACCACAATATTTAGTCTTTGTTTAGGAAGAGCTAAAATAGCATGACTTTTTAGTGAGTTTTGAATATAATTTTCAATAGAGTTTTGAGTTATGCATTTGGCTATGAATTATAAGTTTTTCAATTAAGTTTTGAAAATTCTTTTCAAAACGAAACAACTTTTCTCATTTCATATGTCACGTCAAAAATTCAAAACACAATTCAAAATTCTTTTCAAAACTCATAACCAAACAATTTTTCTCTTTCCAAATTATAATTTCAAAACTCACAAACTCAAAATACAATTCTATTATCAAATCATAATGCTAAAACTCTACCAACGATGACTATAATTTGCAAGACTTTTTTCTTTTGGGGATGACTTTCTTCCCTCCATGGAAAATTATCAAGTTTGGTATTATATAATTTTTTCTCTCTTTAGTTAAAAACTTCTTTTGCACATTCGAGGTAGGTTTGAAGGACACCACAATATTTAGTTTTTATTTGGGAAGAACTAAAATAGCATGACATTTTAGTTTTTTTTTTTAGCTATTTTAGCCTTTTTTTATTTTTGTTTTTGGTTTTTTTGACTTTTGTGAGAGAAAAAGTGTAATGACTATGATTTAGATATGACATTTTATCTTATTAGCTTATGTAACTAATTTTGTCTTTTGTACTTTTTTAGCCAAAAGCCCAAAACCAAGCATAGCTTTACTGCTATTTGCTGTTCAAATCTTTGTTCGCTTTTTCTTATGATACATGTTCTTTATTTTTTTATGAATAATTTTAGGTATTCATCTTTTAACTTTCCTGAATTTACTCTGAATGGAATTATGTGGTTGTGATTGAATTTGTGTGATGTGATGTTTATGTGTAAAATAAATCTGAATCACAAGATAAACATTCTAGATAATTTTTAGATTGATAAAGACGGGTTTGTAGTATTACTCATTTCTCTATTTAAAAAAAAAAAAAACATTATATAGCGGAGTGCACACCACTTAAGCAACACACATATTATGATGTTAATTTTATTATTTATTTATTTTATTTATTTAAATTGTACACACATCGTGTGTGCTAACCGCTAGTCTTCATAAGATTCATTATCTGCTCTAATAACATATTAACTTATTAACTAGTTATTTATGTAAAAATTTAAATTATTAAGAAATTTTACTAGTGAGCTAAGCCAAA